GGGTGGAGCTGTACGCTACTACACCTACGCCGATCCCTATTCCCTTGTCGTGTTGTGAGGCATCTGAGTAGATTGCGGTGAAGTTATCTCCGCTCCTTGATAGGATATAATCCGTGTGTGCAATTGCCTCTTCCTCTTTGCTCTTTTTTGATACAGTAACCTTGTAGTTAAGACTTTCCCATGGTCTGAACCTATATGGGATTATCTTTTCTACGCTATTGTTGTCTCTCTCTGGGATTGACTTAACAATAGTGTATAGTTGTCTATGCTGGTTTGGCTTTTTGTAGCTAGCTTTGTCTGTATTTGTGATCCTTGTAATTGCTTTCTGGATTGGGTGGTTGCTGGATAGCTGGTGTGCTCTAGACGCATACTTTCGGTTGTTGGTGTTGAGTCTAATTGCAGGTGACGTAAGTCCGGATTCAATGCTTGTTGGTAGGGATGGTGACGTTCTAAACACTCCAATTATCTTTCTACACGCCAGGTTGTGCAGTGATTGTAGGAGGCTAGTGGCGTAGCTTTGGTTCTTCCAGTATATTTGTGATCCGTAGTCTGCAACGCTTGTGACGCATGCTAGGTATAGTTGTCGTACTGCTTTTGGGGAGAGTCCTCTTTCGATGTTGGCTAGTCTCCCTAGTCTATAGAATGCTTTCCTTGCTTGGCTTACGCGTGTAGCAATATGTTCCTTGAAGGACAGTCTATTGTCTATGTGGATACCTAGCCATTTGATTGTGTCTTTCGGTTCTACAATGGTGTTGTCTGGAAGCTGTAGGCTTCTCTCTTTTCTCTCTTTCTTGGCGGTAAAGTGGATGAGCTCTGTCTTAGCTATATCGAACATAATCGCTAAGTTTTTCCCTCGGTGAGATAGTAGGCGGACTTGCTGTTCTAGTATTTTGACATTTTTCTTTAGCGATGTTGAGGATGTCGATAGAGATAGGCAGACTCCGCAACAATCAATCGGATCGGCATGATTGATTCCTATCTAGGTTAAAGGCTGCCTAATGAAGTAATTCTTTAACCTATATAGGAATCAATCATGTCAATCGATTGATTGTTGCGGAGTCTGGAGATAGGTCGTCAATATAGGATAGGTTGAAGCTTTGTAGTCCTGGGAAGAGGTCTCTGGTGTAGATAAGAAAGAAGATTGGAGACACTGGGCTGCCTTGAGGTATCCCAGCTATTATCTCGGAGAATTCTTGTGTCTTATTGTCGAAGGAGAGTCTTAGCGATCTGTTTGAGAAGAAGGATTTTGTCCAAGCGATAAGACTAATTGGAAGGCCTAGCTTCTTAAGCGTTCGCAGGAATTGATTGTGTGAGACGTGGTCAAATGCTCCCTTTACGTCTAGGAAGATAGTTGATGTTATTTGGCCTTTCTGTTTCTGGTGCTGAATTTGGTCGATGAGTAGCATAGCTGCATCTATTGCAGATTTCTTGAGTCTACCCCCAATTTGGGTTGGGTGTAGTAGCTCTGTGATTTCTGCTAGATTGCTCAGCCTACTTGCGGTGATCCTCTCGTTAATCTTTCCTAAACAGCTTAATAGAGTGATAACTCTGTAGGCTTTTGGGATTGAATAGTCTGGTTTTGATGCCTTTTTAAGAACAGCTCCTGTAGCTTGTTTCCAGCATTTTGGGTGGTATCCATAGTTGAATAGGAGTGAGAAAGCTCTAAACATTGTTTGCGGTTGAGCTTTGTACGCGGCTGTGATTATGTCTTGTGTTATTGCATCTGGTCCTGGGGTGCTACTTTTGACTTGACTTGAGCATGCTCGTTCTAGTTCAGTCGTGGATAGTGCTGGCCAATCCCATCTCTTTTCCTGGTAGTTGGTGAATGTGGGCGCTTCGGTTATGGGCGGTGGTGGGAATAGCGTGTTGCGGAACGCTTGGCATTTCTTGTCGAATGATGTTTCTCCTTGTATAGGTGGAATTCTTTCGACTTTGTTATCCTTTGTATATGCCATGGCTTTGTAGATTGACTGCGGGTCTTCCTTCTCTAGGAATTCATTCCAGTGTTTCCTTTTAGCGTCTTTGATTGCCTTGTTGTAGGTGTTTCGTGCACGTAGGAAGTCTCTTTTCTCTAGGTAGGCGTCGTGTATCGCAGTAGTTTCGAGCTTTTCTTTAAAAATCCTTCTATAGTGGGAAGTGTCTTGTCGTAGCTTTGTCAGCTCTTTGTTCCACCAAGCTTTTGGTTTTGGACCAAGTCTAGTGATAGGGATAGCTTTGTTTGCTGCAGTTTGGATTGCTTGAGTTATTGCTTTGCCAATCTCTTCTAGCTTTTGCTCTAGCTCTGTATTGTTGCCGAGGAGGAGGTCCATTAAGTCTGCCTTTCTTGGATCACTGATCTGGTCCATATCTTGCAAGGTTTGACTGTTTTGGATTGCCGTTTCTAGTTCTTTGTTGAAGGTGTCCCAGTTAGCCTTTGCAGTATTAAATCTGGGTTGGTTTGTCGGGTTTTCTACAAGGTCTGCGTTTGTTTGGATGGAGAATAGGAGGCCGTAGTGATCTGATCCAGTTTCAGGTATGGTCTGCCAGTCCGTAGCTTTGCTAGCCAAGTCTGGAGTGACAAGTGAGAGGTCTAGGACTGTTTCTCTGGATAGGTGTGGTCTGAAGAATGTGCCTACTCCTGGTGTGTTTAGGAGCTCTAGGTCTTGTTCTTCAATCCAGTCAATAAATGGCTGTGCTCCTTGGCTCGTCGTTGGGCATAGCGGGTCCCACAATGGATGGTGCTCGTTGCTATCTAGTACTAAGATAGAATTTGGCGGAAGCTTGGTGTTGAGTATAGCTCTAGGCAGTGTTTTTTCCCCTTCGGCGTTTGTTTGGTTGTATACGTTAAATAGGTTAAATTGGAAATTGGGACCTTTTATTGTAATAGCCATTGCGTCTGGGTCTATTTTGAAGTCGTTTTGGGTGAATGTCTCTGCTTCTAGTGTTCTAGATATATAAAACAGAACCCTAGGGCGGACGGGTAGGTTTGTTACTGGTAGGATCTGGGTAAACGCAGTGTGATTTATGGATCTTGCTGTTGCGTAGTTGTCGTTGGTAGTTAGCCATGGCTCTTGAATTGCAATTATATCAGCTTTAAGTTCAACTGCAAGTTGTAGTGTAGACTCAGTCGCTGTAATGCTCTTGTTGAGATTGACTTGGAGGATCCTAATGTTGTTCAACATTAAAATCCTGCGGGGATGCTCTTTGTTACTGCTTGGTAGAGTTCGCACTCTTTGCTGTTTGCAAAGTGGGGCTCTTTGCAGTTACTACAGTGAGGGAGTGTATGGTTGCAGGGTTTTCCTTTTGTATTACACACTGAGCATTTGTGTGTTGTAGTTGCATGTTCTTTTCCGCACAAATTGCATGCTGGTTGGTTTCGGCATCTAGTGGCTGGGTGGCCAAATTGTTGGCAGTTTAGGCATTGGGTAGATGCTGCTATAGGCTTGAACTTTTCAGTGAAGAGAGTTTGTCCAAGGATTGTAATTCTACCACCAAGTTTGGCTGCGTCTTCGGCTGTTTTGAATGCTATTACAATAGAGCTGTTCTTCTTGTTTTGCCATTCTCTTGATATCCAGTATGGGTTGCCAGTAATTTGTAGTCCGTTGTTGTATGCTGGGATTTCTGTGTGGAGTATCTCTAGTGTCTCTGCTCCCTCCCATTCTGTTGGCACATTATGTACTACTACTTTCGTCCATGATTCTAGTAGTTGTACATTCTTTAGCTCAAACTTTTGATGCCATATATGCTTGTGTTGGACTAGGTATTCTCCTGAGTAGGTTGGAGTAGTTGTTAGAATAATATTGTTCTTTCTACTTGTTGTTACTTCCTTCACTACTGGGTCTTTGATGCCGCCCTTTGTGAACTCTTCGTTGATTAGGTCTCTAATCTGGAGTGGTGTGTGGGACGTAGGCTGGGTAAGCGTAAGGACTGCTTGGTAGTAGCTTGCTGGCTTTTTGTTTGTCTTCTTTTTTGTAGACACTGTAGTCCATGTGTTTCCGTTGTTCTGGGCGGCTACGCTAGCGTATGATGTCTTGTTTTGTTGGGTGTTTTGGGTGTTTTGGGTGTTTTGGATGTTCTGGGTGTTCTGGTTGTTTGGTTTTTCTTGGTTGTTTGGGTTTTGTGGTCCAGTTGCGGCATTAACAGCTTTCTTTAGTGTCTTTGTAGCTTGTTGGGAGGCGCTTGTAAGCGTTGCAGTCTGGTACGCAAGCTGTGCTGTAAACTTCTCAGTCATTTGCTGCGTAACCCTGCCTAGTTCCGTAAAGTCTCTAAAGACGTCCAGTAGTTGTAGTAGTTTGTTTTGGGATAGATGGGATTCGGCCATAGTAGATGCTTGTAGAATTAGGTCCCTTGCCCAGAAGATTGCTTGGGTTGAGTCCTTTGCTCTTGGTTTCTTTTCTTGGCTGTTCTGGAATGGGTTTCTCTCTCTTGTAGTTATCTCTGGGGAGAATGCCGCTGGTCTTTTATTTAGTGGTGGCTGAATAATTAACCTTGGTGTTTCTTGGGTGGTCTGCTCGATGGGTGTTGTTGGGTTGTCTTGGTGCCTTTCGTCGGTCTCCATTTCGTCGTCCAGTGTGCTTGAGGTCCGGAGGTCTTCTGGTAGCTGGACTACGATAGTGTCGCTATCTGGGGCCATTTTAGCCTCTCTGTTGTCTTGTTGTTGTTGTTTCTTGGCTTGGTCTGTGCGTTTGCTTCTGAAAGTTCGGACGCGTCGCGTTTGGGGTACTAGACTCCTTGTATCTCCACAACCACGCGGCTGCACGGCTTGGGAGTAGTCGGAAGCTATTTCTTTCGATGGATATAGTTGGTTTCTGATGGAGTTTCACGTGTTCGGAAAAACTCGAAGTTGGTGTGTGATTGGACGTGTACGTCGGTAGTATAATCTGAACTCCGCGATCAAATCCGCGATTAGCGGAAATTCTTTATTCTTCTGTTCCTTCTTAATAAGGTCTTGTAGCTAAGTAGCTGCCTAGCTATCGTCTAGGCCTCTAATCGACAGGATAAACTCTTCCTGCGCCCTGTTGCTAGTCGTCTCTGGCATCTTGGCCTCCGTAAGGAGTCGGGTGATCGTCACCCACTCGTCGAACCATGTATCTAAGTTTGCGGTCTTTGGTCTCGTGCAGACTGCTGTGTACCGAGCTCTAAGTTAGTGGTTCCTCTCTCCAATCGATAGACAGAGGTGCTTCTTTAGCGTTCTTAGCTGGCTATAGGCGTCTGCGCAATCAAGGATTAGGTCTAGGTGTTTGACGTTAATTGTCTGCACGATCTCTAGGCTTAGGTTTCAGAGAGCCTTCTCCTTCGTGAGCCACCTGGCCTCGTCGCGATCGAATCGTCTAGCCTATGAGTTGTACGTAGCGAGCTCTGTCGCTGTTAAGTCTGGGATATCGATCTGCTCGTCTGTAAGAGGATTTCAAAATCTCCTTACTTCGAGCTCTTTAGGTCTCTCGTCTTCTAGCATCTTTAGCCTCTCTGGCGAAAGATCTAGGTTAACGTACTCCTATAGACCATTCTAGTCTGCGGATATCTTCCTCGTGAACAGCTATTTCGACTAATCGTCTGGCTTTCGGAGGGTAACTAACGCTCTCGTCACCTGCATTTCGTGCTCTTGAGTTGCCATAACTACCTAGCTAAATATGCTCCTAGTGTTGAGTGTCGTTGTATCGACAGCTTGTCTGTTAGCTGTATATCGGGTGAACGCAGCGATTTAATTAAAGGCTTCCGGGCTCATAACTGTAACGGTGTGAGGAGAGGAGGAGGACTGCGTTGCATTGTGTAGCTATGGAGGAACTGCAGCTATATAGGTGTGTGTGATGAGAAAGTGTGGTAGCGATGGCCGTACCCAACTCTCACCCAAGTCGGTCTTGGCAAGTCCCAAACCGTTACAAATGTTTAGATATGCCATGATGACTCACGTTATCCTGCGAAAGTATCTAAGACACAGAGATGATCACATAGTAAGATTTCAAAGACCAGTAGTTCTGCAACGTCACTGTCGATGACTGGCTGTCGAGAAAAAGGAGGTAAGACACATAACCAATGTATCAATAAGACGACGAAATGGAGACCGACGAAAGGCACCAAGACAACCCAACAACACCCATCGAGCAGACCACCCAAGAAACACCAAGGTTAATTATTCAGCCACCACTAAATAAAAGACCAGCGGCATTCTCCCCAGAGATAACTACAAGAGAGAGAAACCCATTCCAGAACAGCCAAGAAAAGAAACCAAGAGCAAAGGACTCAACCCAAGCAATCTTCTGGGCAAGGGACCTAATTCTACAAGCATCTACTATGGCCGAATCCCATCTATCCCAAAACAAACTACTACAACTACTGGACGTCTTTAGAGACTTTACGGAACTAGGCAGGGTTACGCAGCAAATGACTGAGAAGTTTACAGCACAGCTTGCGTACCAGACTGCAACGCTTACAAGCGCCTCCCAACAAGCTACAAAGACACTAAAGAAAGCTGTTAATGCCGCAACTGGACCACAAAACCCAAACAACCAAGAAAAACCAAACAACCAGAACACCCAGAACATCCAAAACACCCAAAACACCCAAAACACCCAACAAAACAAGACATCATACGCTAGCGTAGCCGCCCAGAACAACGGAAACACATGGACTACAGTGTCTACAAAAAAGAAGACAAACAAAAAGCCAGCAAGCTACTACCAAGCAGTCCTTACGCTTACCCAGCCTACGTCCCACACACCACTCCAGATTAGAGACCTAATCAACGAAGAGTTCACAAAGGGCGGCATCAAAGACCCAGTAGTGAAGGAAGTAACAACAAGTAGAAAGAACAATATTATTCTAACAACTACTCCAACCTACTCAGGAGAATACCTAGTCCAACACAAGCATATATGGCATCAAAAGTTTGAGCTAAAGAATGTACAACTACTAGAATCATGGACGAAAGTAGTAGTACATAATGTGCCAACAGAATGGGAGGGAGCAGAGACACTAGAGATACTCCACACAGAAATCCCAGCATACAACAACGGACTACAAATTACTGGCAACCCATACTGGATATCAAGAGAATGGCAAAACAAGAAGAACAGCTCTATTGTAATAGCATTCAAAACAGCCGAAGACGCAGCCAAACTTGGTGGTAGAATTACAATCCTTGGACAAACTCTCTTCACTGAAAAGTTCAAGCCTATAGCAGCATCTACCCAATGCCTAAACTGCCAACAATTTGGCCACCCAGCCACTAGATGCCGAAACCAACCAGCATGCAATTTGTGCGGAAAAGAACATGCAACTACAACACACAAATGCTCAGTGTGTAATACAAAAGGAAAACCCTGCAACCATACACTCCCTCACTGTAGTAACTGCAAAGAGCCCCACTTTGCAAACAGCAAAGAGTGCGAACTCTACCAAGCAGTAACAAAGAGCATCCCCGCAGGATTTTAATGTTGAACAACATTAGGATCCTCCAAGTCAATCTCAACAAGAGCATTACAGCGACTGAGTCTACACTACAACTTGCAGTTGAACTTAAAGCTGATATAATTGCAATTCAAGAGCCATGGCTAACTACCAACGACAACTACGCAACAGCAAGATCCATAAATCACACTGCGTTTACCCAGATCCTACCAGTAACAAACCTACCCGTCCGCCCTAGGGTTCTGTTTTATATATCTAGAACACTAGAAGCAGAGACATTCACCCAAAACGACTTCAAAATAGACCCAGACGCAATGGCTATTACAATAAAAGGTCCCAATTTCCAATTTAACCTATTTAACGTATACAACCAAACAAACGCCGAAGGGGAAAAAACACTGCCTAGAGCTATACTCAACACCAAGCTTCCGCCAAATTCTATCTTAGTACTAGATAGCAACGAGCACCATCCATTGTGGGACCCGCTATGCCCAACGACGAGCCAAGGAGCACAGCCATTTATTGACTGGATTGAAGAACAAGACCTAGAGCTCCTAAACACACCAGGAGTAGGCACATTCTTCAGACCACACCTATCCAGAGAAACAGTCCTAGACCTCTCACTTGTCACTCCAGACTTGGCTAGCAAAGCTACGGACTGGCAGACCATACCTGAAACTGGATCAGATCACTACGGCCTCCTATTCTCCATCCAAACAAACGCAGACCTTGTAGAAAACCCGACAAACCAACCCAGATTTAATACTGCAAAGGCTAACTGGGACACCTTCAACAAAGAACTAGAAACGGCAATCCAAAACAGTCAAACCTTGCAAGATATGGACCAGATCAGTGATCCAAGAAAGGCAGACTTAATGGACCTCCTCCTCGGCAACAATACAGAGCTAGAGCAAAAGCTAGAAGAGATTGGCAAAGCAATAACTCAAGCAATCCAAACTGCAGCAAACAAAGCTATCCCTATCACTAGACTTGGTCCAAAACCAAAAGCTTGGTGGAACAAAGAGCTGACAAAGCTACGACAAGACACTTCCCACTATAGAAGGATTTTTAAAGAAAAGCTCGAAACTACTGCAATACACGACGCCTACCTAGAGAAAAGAGACTTCCTACGTGCACGAAACACCTACAACAAGCACACCTGAGATCAATCAAGCTAGCTTGATAGCTTGATTGGAAGATTGATGCCAAGCCAATTCAATCAATCCAGCCAAACCTCATACAAAAACGCAATCAATCCAGCTGAGCTTTTCCGTGAGCTTGATTCAGATTGATAGCTTGATTGCCTTAAGTATATAGTAGATTTCGGTGATGAGGCAGCCCATGAGGCAGCTTAGATAGCTGTAAAAGCTCTATACTGAGCTTTTTTTGGTGTTTTAGTTACGCCGTGTAACATTGAGTAATATCCGATAGCTCCGTGTAACTAGCAGCCAGCGCGTCGTCTCATATAGTATACTCCATCTCCATCTCCATCACCCACAATACTATATACTTTTGGTGTTGCAGATCTATCGCCGTATACCTCACCTCATCGTCGCCCTCATGCCGCCCAAAAAACGCGTCTCTGATAGCGCTCCCTCGCCTAGAAAGCGCGCGCGCGGCACTGCGAGCCAGCCCGTCGCGATCGACTCGCAGTCATATCAATCTCAGCCATCTGCTCTATCTCCGCCGCCTCCATATACACATACTTTCGAGTCGCGATTGCGCGAGTCGCAGCCCGAAGACGCTATCGTCGCGCCCGCCGAGGGCAGTGAGCAAGCTACGCTCGCTCCGTCTTCTGAAGCCGCCGACGACGCTGTAGATGAGGCTTTTGACGCCCATCTCGAAGACAATTATGATGGCATAGATTGGGGTCGCCTTAAGCTGTATACGAAGCCTATCACGACGCACCAACACAAGCGGAGTTGGATCTATCGCCACGGCTATCGCGTCGCTCTTCTCAAAGATCCAACCCGCGTATTCTTCATCTGCCACTGGTGTTTCAAGCACAAGCTCACGGATATTGGTATTGGGATATACAATACAAGCGCAGCAGTCTCGTCAGCCGCGCGCCACCTCAGCGAGCAGAAACCTGGCCATAGGCTAGTAGCACCAGGCAAGACTCCAGTTGCTAGTGTTTACAACGCGCTCACCACTGCGAGAGTCCCTATCTCACAGGCAGTAGCTAATCAGATTAACGGGTTTAGCAAGCAGCGCTTTAGGTTTGCCGCAGTAGACTGGCTCGTCGCGAACAACCACCCCATCTCTGAGTTCGAAACACCAGCTTTTCGACGCCTAATTGCTATCGCCAACCCACTTGCAGAAGCAGCGCTCTGGAAGAACCACAAGAGCGTCTCCCAATACGTCATACGACTGTTTGACTGGCTCAGGCCCCGCGTTGTCCACGAGCTGTCACAATCGCTTAGCAAGATCCATATAAGCTTTGACGGATGGACAACGAAAGGCGGCAAGCGCGGGTTTCTCGGTATCGTCGCCCACTACGTCAACTCAGATGGCAAGCTCCGAGACCTGCCTATCGCGCTGCCTCAGCTCACAGGCGCTCACTCCGGCGATCGATTAGCTGAGGTTGTATTATCAATCTTAGAGCAGTTTAGCATAAGCGAGCGCACACTCGGTTACTTCGTCCTCGACAATGCCTCTAATAACGACACCGCTGTCGCTGCGATTGCCCACGAGCTTAACTTCAATCCTATACACCGACGCCTCCGCTGTGGCCCTCATACGATCAATCTGATTGGGCAGAGACTGCTCTGGGGCAGAGATGCAGACTCATACAACAACGAGGGAGTTGACGAGCTCGCCGACGAGGCAGCGTTTATAAAGGAGTGGCGAAAGCACGGGCCTTTAGGCGTACTTCTCGATATTGTCAACTATATCCACACACCGCAGCAGTACAATCTTTTTGAGAAGGCGCAGCGTACAGCTTACCGTGAGCTACCTCACGACGCAGACGACAAGCTCACGATACTACAGCCAATCAAGCCAGTAGTCACACGCTGGAACTCATACTTCGACTGTTTTGAGCGAGCTATAAAGCTCGCGCCGGCCATCAACGCGTACGCGAACACCCACATACAAAATACAGCAAAAGAGGATATCTACGCCGACTCACAGGGCAAAAATCGGCCTGCTGCTCCACAGTGGATGAGATCAGACGGCCTCACAGCTGCCGATTGGGCTGTTGTTACCGACTATATAGAGGTTCTTAGGCCACTTAAAGAGTGTACAAAGCGCTTTGAGGGACGTGGCGAGTATAGCTTTGGCGCGATCGCTGAGGTGATCCCAACGTTTGATTTTCTACTCACTCAATTAGAAGCTCGCCTCCTCTACTACGATTGCGTAGTCCATGACGCTCACGACGAGGCACCCGAAGATCACCTTCCTATTAATCTACGCGCAGCGCTACTTAAGGCGAACGAGTACTACGCTAAACTCGACGACTCGCCAGCTTACTACGCTGCTACAATACTCCAT